TTGACAGTAGTTCCCCTCCTACCTTCATTCGTGAACTCTGTCCCTTGTATCCGTGCTGTATTCTGATTATATCTCTTTAACTGCATAAGCAGTGAATATCAAGCATCTATCCTAACTACGACGATGATAATTAAGGAAGCTTTCGACATTATCACTGTCGATTATTTTTATTGCATTGGCTTGTAATTTAAATTGCATTTGTTCTTCTCGTTGATTTATTTTTTGTGTTTGTAAACTTCTCCTTATCTTTGACGGTCGGAGCTTCGTTGTTGTTCCAAGATTTAATGAGAAGTAATTTAATTTCAAAGCCCTCTTTGATTAACTGCTTCCGAAGTTTTAAAATAACATTTCTGAAACACAATGTCGGCCATCAACTATGACCTCAATTGATGAATCCAAATATTTACCCTGTTTTCTCATTACTAAGTATTGTGCTGTTAAGGTTACCAGTGTCAGTGAAAAGTTTTTTTTTCCTACGCCAGACTTAAGCCGGTCAGCCATTAGTCTATTTACAAGGCGACAAGTGTCAGTCGTTTTTAGCGAATAGGGGACACCACGAGTAGACGACTGACTTTACCCCCCCCTTTTTTTACAAACATTCATGCCTTGAGTGGGACTCGAACCCACGGTCGTAGCAGCCAGGCGCACGAAGATCATGCCTTGTACTTGTTTTTGACCAGTCCGAGTGATGATTCATGCAATTGTGTCTTTGAATTTTTCTACCTTTCGTTTCATTATTAAGTTGTCTTTTGGCTAAATAAATCAGATTTCGTGTGAGCAGCTTTTGCGCCCCCCTCTCTACGGGCCAATATTTCCAGTGACTGACCTAGCACTCAAGTAGGAATTGTATTCAGCGTTTCATCTGTGGCTTCTGGGCTTCAAAATGTGGTTGAGGCAGGAAAGGCGGCCTGTCAGCTGCAGCATGCACGGGAAGTTTCAAATTATTCCACTGCCAGAGTAGCAAAAGACAGAGACGTCTTACGTCAAAACTAAAACGCTCTCGCTGTCTAGGGACTACTAAAATCATACCTCATGTCTTGTGGCTGTGACCATTCCGGAGCATAACTCACTGGAAGCAGGCTCAACTGTGCTCATATTTCCGTCGGCACAGATTTATGTTGCGGTGTGCAAGTTCGACATTTTCTCTTCATCAGCTCTTCTCGTTACACTGCTCCTTCATGATACATGGCGGGGTACGAGGGTCCTATTACAATGGGGTTGTACACTGTGTTCTGATTTACGTCTGGTGAAGAATTAAATTGTGATAATTCAGGTTTCCACGGCGATGAGGGTGGTGATGTTCTGGGTTCTGGCGAAGTATAGGTTGGTTGGTAGATGCTGAACCCCTTAAAAGCGAAACACTGTGTTATTCCGAAACGTCGGCATCTACTGACCGGTCTTCATGTTGCCAAAACCCAGAGCAACACCAAGAATTACATTTATTGTAAGTTAATGTTGTAACTTGATTTAATGGAAAAATTAAGTGTTGTGGTTGCATTTGTTGAGTTCTTTCTCTTCGGTTTCTGGGGGTACGGAAACATGCCGTTGCAGTAATTAGTATCCAGGAACCTATGATTAGGCTTACTAGCTGCAGTGGCTTTGTTCCGAATTGGAACAGACTGTAGGACCTGATGATAGAAAACTGGGATATCTGAAGAGATTGATGATTATGTTGGAAAATACGTGTCAGTAAATATTTACAGAACCTTCTTGACGGAAGTTGGGATGACACCGAATGGTTAAAAATTTGTACGTAACGCAATATTTTGGTACTCATATTTACGTACCTAGTAACTGACCAGACGTTTTAAATTGTTCTTCCATATGCTGTGGTTCTAGTGGACCACAATTAGAAAATTTACCCACCTCTGATTTAGCGAACATAATACTGACTGTGGTTAAAACGTCTGTTGATTTTCCATAAACACCCAATTTTGGGGAGGGGGATCATATTTTATTTGCTTCTTTCTGTTTTATGTACCTATTTTATTTCTCATTTTATTTGTGTTTGTATTCGTTACATTTATTCAACGGAATCAGTTCTGCGCGTTTCTCGCACGTATGTGACTAATTGCACATTTATCATGAACAATTTAAGAAGATTTTGTATATTTTTTCCCCTTGAACTAGTTGGATTTCAGGCTTAAGAAACCTGTTTTATCTACTCTCATCCAAGAATGGGTCTTCCTAGCTTTTGCATCCAGTATAGGTATTCCACGTTGCGCCTGTGGACTGTGGTGTATGTTGAATGCCAAACGGCAATGTCGAAGAAGTTGCCGCTGTACTACGGCGATCCTACACGTGCTTTTACTATTATACGCACAGATGAAGGTTGTGGCTTTGCAGTTGTTGTTAGTGTATCCCTAAGGTTCTTAGAAGTAGATACTAGCCTGCTTTTTGTTCTCGTTTGAAAACGTTTCACATTCAAGCTCATTTGAACGTGTCATATACGGATTTTTGTGATTACAACACGTATTTCATGTGGACTATTCCCGGTTCGGAATCGGAGTGGGACAAATTATGCCACGAAATGTTTGTGCTTTCCTCATTCCTTACAGACATAATTCAGCTTAGTATCCAAAATATATATTTCAAGAGTAATTAAGTTGTCGACGCTCTAGAGGGAAGCAGTTGGCCAATGCGTAATCGAAAGTATTGAAAAATATTAAAACTTTAGTTGAAACAATTACTTTGTCTAGCGAACAGGCAGTAGGCCAATAGCAGCGTTAAGTAATCACTGCACGTGTCGACATCTACTGTTCTCTGTAGGTGATTTTGTACTGTCCAGTATCAGCGAGTGTCTTATGTAACACATGTCGCTACGCTATTTGTCTCAGGTGGCTATGTAGGAGTGTTTGTAGACGAACACAGTTTTATATAGTACTATTGCTTCGTAACTGTTGTAGTTGGTACGGCGTCTTAACTTTCGAGTGTATGCATTCTGCTGTCTTAATAGAATTAAGATTAGAATGTGGCTTTTTTGTTTGTGTACAGTGCTGTACTTGGTGTTAGCACACGCTTGTATCTGGCCCGCATGGTATGGCAGTGAAATGATTGTTCGCCTCGTAGTGTTATACTAACGTCTTTTTACGGAATCGCATACATACAGCCTCATAGTTTATATATTAACATTTAAACTGGAGATTCTCTGAAATACTTATATATTTTCCTTTCCCTGATTTATGATGTATTTCCCTTCCAAGAATGAAGACGCCTTGAAACACTCAGTCGCTGAGCAAAGGCCTTTCCAAGAAAAATGCTTTTAATTACATTCGTTTACAAGGCAGGTCAGAAGTCTTGAAACAGTTTCACATTTACGGTGCGGAAAGTATTTAACTGTGGTAAGTTACAGGAACTGACTCGGCATCGTACTACGTGTTGGGCTTTGATGTTTGCTTCTTAGTAGCTGCCACAGAGTTAGTGTGAATACTTCGTTCACCCGAAATGTGTAAGGTTCGTGTTTTCTGTTGCTGATCCATTCCACAAGAACCACTGAAGTAAAAGGAAGAGTTTATCGGAGAATGAGCCTGCGTAGGAATTTGGGCCAGGAAATTTACGCCAGGGCCAGAGGCGTTTCATTCTTTTCTAGTGAATATTTTAACATCGGGGATGTTCAATCTATCCTTCTAGTGGTGATTTTTGGTCATGGCGTGGAAAAGAAGTTTATCGGGAAAAGGATGGGTTATCACTTACTCCTCAGTCTTCAGAAAAATGGCATCAGCGTATGCAGATACATAAGTGCTTATAATGGCTGTATATTCGGTTGTTGAGGCGTGTAGTGTGGTAGAAGTTTGCCGACGTTTCAGAGGCACTTGCTGCATCCAACATCAGTGTTGCGGAAGGATAAGGAGGAATCCCTCTCGCGGTATATCCTTCTCCCTGATGATGGAGGCAGTATAAATTGTCGGCAAACGTCTACCAGACTACGGCGCAACAGCCCAGAAGACAGCCATCTTCATATTCTCTGCTACGAGAACTTGAAATCTCGCCGAGGAAATGCATAGACTGCAATAAAAATACATTTGCTTACTGGATTGATCGCAGGGCTTGTTATGCCTGTTTCAACACGACTCAAAAGGGCTTTCTCAGCTGTATTTTGTAAGTACGTCTATAAAATAGTTTATCAAATCTAAAATTTCTTGACGATGGTGAAGAGTCATTTGAATAAAAATTTCCTTGGATATTATCCATCGTCTAGTAAAATATAAAATGTAAAACGAAAACAAAAACTCACAAAATGTGGGAATAAATACATATGAGCATTAATTTGAAACTCGATGCACAACTTGGACTTCTTCAGAGATGACCTCTAATTCTTCTAAATTTTTCTGAGACACAAACAAAAAATTAGAAGAATTGGGAACCGTTATAGTATCAGGACAATTTTTAAAACCGGTCACACTCTCCGTGGTTTACTGATGTCCATGAGACCCAGAACAGTCGAGAGACAGACTAGGCAGTGTGTGTATGGGATCCCGTGTGATTGCGGTAGATGGTATATCGGCGAAACTAGCAGACCTCTGGAGGTACGCATAAAGGAACATAAATATAACTTCAGACAGGGCCTGCTGGAGAAATCCAGATTGGCCCAACATGCGTATGAAGAAGATCATCATGTCTGTTGGGATGGAGCCAGGGTGTTATTAACAGAACCTAATACCGTCTACAGGAAACACAAGGAGGCGGCACACATGGCACTACTTGCCAATCCTATCAGCCAGCCTAGTTTGGATTTATCTCTTATTTGGATTCCGGTCATCTCTGAAGAAGTCCAAGTTGTGCATTGAGTTTCAAATTAATGCTCATAATATGTATTTATTCCCACATTTTGTGAGTTTTTGTTTTATTTGGCTTTATCGGGTTTAACGAATTTTATTTCTACTATTTATTTTTTTACGTCTCTCGGATGGATGGTGTGCTGATGTCTTTTTATTCCGGGACTTTCACTTTCTTACTTTGTCCGGAGATAGGGATTAGCTCTGTCTAGTGGGCCCAGCTGTGTAGGAACCTGAAGACGGAGTCCCATCTCCGAAACGTCGTTTTACGTTTTACATTTTATATTTTACTAGACGATGGATAATATCCAAGGAAATTTTTATTCATATAAAATAGTTTCTCATACTGAACGAAGCTCCGGTAATTTAGGTGCCTGTTTCGTTTGCAAAAGCTCTGTTTCAAAATACGAGTTGAATAATTTATAGGCATACATATTTACTGTTGTAAATGACATCTATTTATCGAGATTGTGTACACATACATAATTTATACACTTTTCATTTTCAGGTAAGTGCAAGAAGCTACAATTGGTGTCACAACTTGGTCGAATTTTGACACGCTGGAACCCCCTCCCGTTTCTCTAACTGTAAGTACAGAAAAAGCAAAGTGTTTCGTTATTAACCATACGCTGTTCTTGTTTCAATAAATTCCATAGGGATTCCATTGTCCCATGTCCTGTTCAAGACTAGGAGCGTGGTAGTGTTTGTCATTAATTTTACAGCCAAACTTTTTACGATCGGCTGCTCTAAAATATTTCCGAGACCCCGACATGTTATATGCTCATTTTTCCGTGGCATTTTTGTTGTCACACAGAAGGGAAGGGTCTAATTTTGTATGCTAGGATCGTTTTTCTTCGCCTTTTTTCTTCATGATGCATGCAGAGCAGTGGAAAGTAACGCTTATATCACAGAATACGCGGGTATAGATTTCTAGTTTGGTTGCTGCGAGTTAGGGATTTTGACTTGTAGGACTTGATCAAATATATTTAAAGGCAGTACGATCATGTGAACGTACAAGAGTTGTTTGGTTGTCGCGTAATTATTTTGTCAAAAATTGTGATATAATTGTCTAACTACGTGCGTTTGCTGTTTAGTTGTATAGTCCGATTAATTGTCTAACTTTCCTTGTTGGTGACTGGAGTTTAAGAGACTGCTTATATCCTATCGAACATAACACATTTTCTGGAAAGTTGTTTTCAAACTGTACAGTACAGAGTGTAATGTAATTAACTCTATGGAACAGAGTCTTTGAAAAGCTAATAGTCTCTCAGCTAGTTAAGAAATTTCCTCGCCTGTTATACAGCCCAGATGTCTTACTGCGTTCACAAGAGACCACACTGTACCCTGATCCATATGAATCCATTATGCACCTCTTCATCTTATTTAAGGCAAGTTTTAATATCCTCCCATCTACATCTAGGTCTGTCTAGTGGTATATTCCCTTCAGATCTTCAGACTAGAATTTGTATGCATTTTCTCTCTCTTCCATTTGTGTTACATGTCCTATCGTCTCGGCCTACTTGATTTGATCCTTATGATACTTGGTGAAGAATGTTGTAAATTTGCCTAAACTGAATCTCTCCCGTCATAAAATCATTTGTTTTTTGGGAGTCATGAAAGAGAGTGAATTGTGCTTCAACACGTCACGAGATTTCAAAGCTTCTGGACTAATTCTGTGGATTGTGGAGTTTCTTGATGCTCTTTCTTGCGTAGTTTGCAATTTGCATAGCACACAGGCTCCTTGTTAGTAATTCTGCAGTGAAGCTAGTAGTGTCTCAGTCTGTGAGATGTGAAGTGAAGGCGGTAGAATTATGTGTAGGATTAGCGAAATTGACAATTTTAAGAGTTGGGTTTAGTATTGAAGAGATTTATGGAACGTGTTCTACACCAGTTTCTAAAAATACGTTTTGCTGAAGCACGATGTAAAATAAAGGTGTAACAGACGTTTTCAAGAAATTAGTCCGCTAGTCTTTATTTTAGTTTGTCTTTTTAACCGTGCAACTGAATATGATTCGATTTTCGCCAGCGAGTGACAGATTTATTTATTTATTTATTCTTACCTTACGCGCCTTTGGAATGTATTTTTATTAGACGTGTTTGGTTTTCTTCATCTTCCAAACATTCTGCCCAGCACTTCATTGAAACATCCTCGATCTTTTTTCTGTTGATGTGACGGTTGTACAGTCATATAAAACAATTTGTAAAAGTGTGGTTGTGTATATTTTAATCCATTCTTTTTTTGGGGGGGGGGAACAGGCGATAAGACAAAACTTCGTGGACTACATGGGAGCAAACATTTACCCGAATTCAACCTGCACTTAATTTCTACGTGATTCTAATTTCGATTTATTGCGGTCGTACCCATATATTTGAGCTTTGCCACATTTTCGAAGGATTTATTATCAATCTTTATATTGCGTTAGGAATTACAAAACTTTCGACACTTTGTTTCCGTTCAGATGATAATTATCTCCGAAACGTCGACAATATAGCCTAGATCTACACGGTGTCATTACCCATAAACAAGCTCTAAACACGAATTGTGGGCGAGGGATATCAAAATTTGTTTAACCGGGAAGTCCTGTTTGGCCATACAGATGCTTTTAATAATATGCCCGGAACAGGTATTGAATTTCATGTGTTTCAACTTATTTTAAATAACGGAAACAGAAATTTGTAACTTCTAAGCAATCCACTTATCACTGTAAGAGGAACTTTGTTAATCAGTAATCGTCTTTTGTTGTGAATCATCTTGCTTAATTAGTTATTTCTGCATTCTGCACGTTTATTGTGACGAAAATTTTAATTCCTTTTTCAGTTGTTTTTTACTGAGTAAGTTTCCGGCGAATTAGAATTATGTGAGCAGACACGAAACTTTAAGCTCAGGTCTTACAGTAACAAACTTGGTCGTGGTCTCATCACTAGATGGTGGAGCTGGTATTGGGCTTCGAGCCAGACCAGTGCAAGGAGTTCGGCTTAACAACAGCTTCATATTCCCACGTCAGACCGCCTGTTTGGAGGAGTGTTCATTAGGGTAGAGTGTAATACTACAAAATAACAGGCTATGTCACACGAATATATACCAAATGCTCACTTTGGGAAACGGGAAGTTTCTTTTGTCTCTGGGGCACCATCACAATGAGTAAATTATCGACCATTGAGTCTTCATCTTCATTTGTCCGCAGCTGAGGAAGGAAAGTTAAGTGTACAAGGCATGGTAGATGCCTAAAATTGTTTTATGTTTGTTGGGATTGAACAATTTGAGTGTTAGCGATTTTCACCAGTTAGATATTTCTAAAAGTAATCGCGTGTCTCTTCCCAGTGTAGCTAGTAAAGTTCATGAAGCATTGTGCGTGCTGTGACATGTAACCCAGCGTTTTCCAACTTGCAGGTCGTGATGTACCAATTGGGCCGTAAAGTAACGAATTAAGTGTGTTTTTTTATGAAATGTCACTTGTGTTTAGGGCAAACATAAATGTTTGTACATAGGAATAAAGCGCGTAGTCAAAGACGTTGAATGCCGCTGATCTGAAAAATTAATTCGGTTTCTTTGTTAGGAAAAAGTTGACCTGGAAGAAAATTACTAGATACAGATTTTCTCTGTCGGTCTTGATCGCTTCTTAAGTTTCTAGACATATTTAACTAGGGCTGTTTTTGTCGTGTTTCAAGCTGTTTGTTGTTTCTGGCTTGATTACAGGTCGATACAAGTGTGTTTAGCACATCTGCTCCATTCCTTGTGTTCTGTTGTCTCTCTTATCAGATGACAGACGAGATCAGTTTCTGTTCACCGATGCCACGAAATTGTCTGCTTTCAAACAATTGTGCTTTGTTTCCCCCTCGCTCTTCATTTCTCGCTTATATTCTCTGTGCGTCGTTGAACAGGAAATTTGTAGGAAATTACGTCGAGAATACGACAAGGCAGAACAAAACAAATTAGGGCGATCTCCCCCACAATTTTTCTGCCATCATCGGAGGCAGCTCCATTTTCTGTTCGCGACCAGCATTATCTCTTCATGTTACGCCTGCGCCCCATTCTCAGAGCCCAAGTTGGCAGATGACTATTTGAAGCGAGGAGTGTTGACTAACGTTAATAATCGTACATCTTGCCTGTTACTCCCTGCGTGAAACAAGCTGCTGCCTTAAGTAATGTACGGCAAGAAGGGGGGGGGCTTAGGACGCCAGCATTCCTTCAAATGCCTCATTTTATAGAGGGAGTGGAGAGAGATGATGATGACGATGCTGTGTAAAAGTCCATACGAGCTCGCAAAGGCAGACAAGAATTATGGAGCGGATAAGACGTTCAGCGTGTATTTTTGCTGCCTATGTACAGTTTCAGTGTACTTATATTGAGATTGTATACCCCTGTAAATGGGTGTAGAAACGTGATCAGACTGTGTTCTGAACAGGACGTAATTTGTTGACGGCATCGCAATACTACTAAAATATAGGAGCTGTTTTTATGTGTGATGTTGCAAATACCATGATTTGCCAGAAATATTTGCCTTAAGCCTATCATCTGAATCGCATTGTCTTCTAAACCTGGAGAAGGTGTGACTCAGGTAGTAGGCTTTAAGTTTGGTTGCTCTTCATCGTACTGCAAACTGCGGTTATGCGAAAATGCTGATAGGGAAAGCGCTTGTAACGAGAGTCACCTGTATTTAATTGTTTTGATGTTGAAAACGTGATGTTTACACTGATAAGACGGACTTAGTTTTCAAGTGAATGGACACTAATAAATCCACTATTACCGGCAACAAAAATGAGATACTACGCATTTTTACGAGTACTTAAACTTCACATGCAGGAAAAGCGCACGACCTATCCTTCCACGTCCTTTATAATTCCAATTCGCTTTCATTCTCATATTCCACGCGTAATTAAGTAAATTATAAATAAATAATTAAACTAACTTTTCTAATTCTAAGATGTCTTTGGGGCCTTCCCTTGTTATTGTAGGTAGCTTCATCGATTATCATGACATCTATCGGCCACTGTAATTTGACCCTTTTCACTTCTTGGACAAGATTCACACCCCTGTTACCCTATGTCGAGGCAAGATGGACATGCAGCACATGTAGCATGCACGTGCAGTTGAGAATACGTACTTTTCAGTCGATAAACCGGATTTTAAGAGACCACTTCAGAGACCTAGGCTTAGATGAGAGACCGATATTAAAGTGTGTCTTCAAGATATAGAATGTGTAAATGTAAACTGGAATTAGCTGTCTCATGACAGCCTAGTGAAGGTTTTGGGCCTTCGGTTCCTGTAACAAGCCGGGGGCGGCTACTGCTGAGGGAACATCATATTCGCAGGACGACTCTTCTGCATTCAGATAGATACTCAGTACGAACTATAAATTAATAATTGTACATTTTGAACTCACATCCGATGTTCTGTGTTGAGGAAACTCACGAAAAATCTGATGGAAGTTGTGTGATAATTGACCAAAAGGTTTCTCACACTTCGTTAAGATTTTTACTATGCGGAGAGCAGAATCCCTTATTGTCAACTTACCATCTTAATTTTAAATAAGTTTGCCGAAAGCCATTTTACTTTGTCAATCTGTGTGAATGAATTTACAATATT